CCTACTACAATATTTCAAAACAAATTAGATTTCCACCGCGTCATTATTTGACCCCAGGAATACCCCAAAAGTGATCATTTTGTGTTATCAGTCATTTAAAAATAATATACACGTCCTGCCTTCATGACGTAGCATTTATGATTTTGCTGCAACTCCCTATTTTCTGTACAAATGAATGGAAAACAGATGTGCCTTTCTATCAGAAACCTACAAATCACTTAGGAAGGTTATGAGGTGGGATTCTGGCCCACACAATTTTACCTCCTAAATTATGGGTGGTATTGTTTAAGTAAGCAAACCTCCCAAATTACCTCAGTGTGGTTTTATCACAATCAAAGTGTTGCCCTCAATTATTGAACTTTTCGTAGAATGGTATTCTTTTTTTCCATCAACTCTCAAATTTGAATTCATGCTGTTTCCCTTTATGTTAATCTAATTTCAGCATTTCTTGTCATAAGTAGTGCTGTTGTTTGTCTTTACCTGTTCTATAGCAGGACATCCTCGCTCAAGGATAGTCATTTTATGTTCGTCTGGCCATTATCTTCACTCCTTATAGTGCCAAGAAATGGGGCTGCCATTGAGTGTTAAGGAAATGGTTGCTATGGGAGGTTTCTTACATGTGATAACTGGCTGGGGAACATTTTCTCTCATGGTTTAAGAAACGAGAGGAGAGAAAAAGAAGAGAACAGGGAGGAGGGCAAAGTACAGGCACAGACAGTGAGGTGTAAAAAAAAAAACAAAAGGAAAGAGATAAAGAGAACAGAGAAGGTGGTGAGGTTAATGGAAAGGCCAGAGGAGCATAAAAGAAGATAGAAATGAACAGAGAAGAATGGGAGTATCGGAGTAAAACCCGACTATGACTATGGTTTCATTACTTAACATTCATGTGCCTATCTGTGACAAATGGTGCTTTTCAATACATATTCATGATGATTTAGTGCCAGGATTTTTTTAAAGGTGAAAGAACAGGTCAATGGATGATTCTGCCTTGAAGGTTTGATCAGCCTCGAACTAATTCACTAATCCTACCTCGCCCTGCCCAGCCTGAAACTGTTTTGCACATTGAATCCCGCATGTTGTATAAGTCACTTGGGTTTTCCCCCAGTTAGTATAGAGTCAGGGTAAGGTATTGTCCCTGACAGATAATATCCTTTAATTTAAGTCAACACTAGTTCACAAGATCACTGTCACACCCTTGCAGCAGGTAGTGTTTCAGAGTCCTTATCGAGGACATCTCTGCAGGGCATTCACTAGGGGCCATGAGGGACTGAAGCAGGGAGTGCTTCCATGACGGCTGATATTATCATTAAATAGTTTAACATGAAATGGTGTACAATAGTGTGTTAAAGAGATGACATGTTTTTAGTGAACATCTGGAAGATATCCCTCTTGGGTGGGACAGTAAGAAAGGGAATTTCCCTAAGAGATTGATATTGCATTTCTGTTAGCAGTAATATATAGGAGGGTCTGCAGTGGACAGCCCATCAAAGGTTTAGTACTGTAACTACTCATTGTTTAAATATATACATTTTAACAATCGCCTGTTAAATGATAACGGAAAAAGCGGTAATGATTCTGAATGTGTCAGAACAACCAGCAAGCAGAATGAACATTTAGCACACAAATCTCATTGTTCAAAACACGGAATAAATAACTTCCAACTTCACAAAAACAAATACTGGCGGACTTATTGATACAATGGATGATGTATACCAGTATGAGTTACTTAAATAACTCACTACAAACTCGCTCCTCTTCTTCCATTTCATTCCTTTCCTTTCACCGCCTGAGCCTGCCATGTCTTCGTCCCCAGAATAGTCTCAGTCGCAGTTGCTCTTTCAAAATCAAGGCACAAATGTTAGTTACATACTGTATAGAACTCCATTGGATTTTGAACTGTTAAAAACAGTAAGCTAAAATAGGCTAAGGTTACAAAGGTTTGTGATATTTAGATTTTTTACAAATGAACTCCACTTTTCTGATTTCTGAAGCATAAATGCAATCGTCATGAGTAAAAAGTTAATGTTAGGGTAAAAAACGAACTACACTTCAAACATCACTGCCACTAAACTTCCAACTTGTAATTAAAATTGACAAGTTTGAATGTTTGCGTTATAATACTTTGCAAGGGCGCAAACACAAGGCTGTAAATGCGGACTAGTGTGTCCAAGTCTCTGTGTTCAGCATATTGACATTTAACGTCATCAACAACCTCTATGGTTATTTAACCACTTGTTAGCACCACCTTTTTAAAGAAAATGCTTCAAAATTCATGGGTGGGGTATTTACTGATGTATTGTATGCCCTAGAACAAAACATGAAAATCTCTTAAACTTGCGTTAAACACAGACCTTATTTCAGGCATCTAACCAAAAACCCATTGAAAAACCCATTGAGTTCAAAGCGAGGGAAGTGGAAGTGCTAAAAGGCCCAGTTCCGGCTTTTAGGACTCATTCCTGTAGCATTCTTTCTGTGCCGGTCAACAAGTGATTTTGCTCCTCTGCTCTTTTTTCTAATCACAAGTAGAGCTTTATAATAACCTCATGAATTATCTGTTCATGGATAAGTGGGGTGGCACCAACTTCTTGAAGCGGGGAGAGCTTCCATGATGGTTGATATTATCATTAAATAGTTAAACATGGAATGGTGTACAACAGTATAATAAGTTAGAGAGGTGTTTTTGGTGAACATCTGGAAGATATCCCTCTTGGGCGGGACAGTGAAAAGAGAATTTCCCTACGGGGATTGGTATTGCATTTCTGTCACCAATGATATCAAATTCATTTTTCAGATGCAGAACTTGAGGCAGTGCACAACCCATCACATCCAGGAAAGAGCCGCAGTTCTGGGGGTTAGTATTGTAGCTCCTTATTGTATAACAGTTACTGTTGATTTTATAATTGTAACGAGGCGATAACCCATTCCCCAAATATAGAGGGATGCACGCAAGAACCTTTGGGTACACACTTAGCAACACAAACAGACACTGATGAAGAGATAGTTCAGTTTTGGTGGATTTGTACTATGTTTCCTAGTTACCACAATCTCGTGGATGCCTTTTTTATCACTCTGCGGAACAGTGAGATTAGCCTTGTTTACTGTGTTTACAATGACTGGATTTCTATTGAATCAGCAGCATCTCCTTTGTAAGGAAAAACAAGATAGAATGTCTCCTAAACGGACGATTTAATATGTGCTTGATAACCAAAACTAACATTTAGCATGTGCATTGTGCATTTGTACGTTTTTCTTGGTTTTGCAGTTGCCCTTAAGTTGTAACTGACATCAAGTCTTATTACTTAATATTAACACTACCTAACAAACAATTACATCAAATCATGAGGCAGCTATATTTATGCACCCGGGGTATTGATTTTAGTCTGGCATCAAAACTACAAAGTTACACCTCTACCAAATGGTTAGTAGCACAGGGCCACTCCGAGATAGACCCTCATAATTGTGCTTGTAGATATTCTTCTGGTGGATCTATATACTGTAATAATGCCTTTCCAATTTAACAAGCTTTGTTCCCATGACAAGAGAGCCAATTGACTCGTTTTACCTCCTGGGTTGAATAAGTTTAATCACTAGCCACAAAGCAATTTGGCAGCAACGCTTCAACACTGATTTTCCCGAAGCAGCTCCTCTCATCGTTCACCCTTTATTCCCCAATCCATAAACCGATTCATCTAGGTTTGTATAATCATTATAATCTGGTGAAAGGCACTCTTCCTTAGTGCTCTGTCATTAGCGGCTTTGTCAAGTTGAAGCAGGTAGATGGCAGCCATGATGTCACAGGCGTATATAGACAGGCAACACATAAGGAGATAACAGGGTTGTTTGCACATCCAATCAACGATAAGAGAAAGACACAGAGGGTGAGTTTGTCCCTCAGATATTTTATCTCTCTAATATTATAAAGAGAAAGAACTTGGCATGCAGAGTGAGTGTGTGTGTTTCCAGACTGGGTAGGACAGAAACTCTATACCTCTCAATGCCTTTGAGGTATAAACTACTACAAAGAGAATGATCTTGCTTTTCTCCTCTTCTCCTCTGCCCTCTCCGCCTCTCAGCCTTTACATGCATCATTAACACATTTATACTTGAAATGATAATGCCCCTTTCTCTCTATCCTCCTTTAATCGCTTATCTCTCTTTCGTTTCGTCTTCAGCACATTCTGCTGGCGCCACAGGAGAGGGTAAGGAATTGTATTCATTTTTTTGCATCTGTTCATGGTCAAAATATGCATAATAACAACAACACTATTGACATCACACCATCTTCAGTCCAGATCACATGAATCTCAGTCAAATACAGTTGTAGTTTTGCATCCACAGGAGAAGTAGTAGGGCTTATATAGTTCTGAAACTCGATGAAACACACAGGATATTACTGGCATGCCACTGACAATAAAAACAGGATACAAGACTCAGTGGAAAATACCTCTCTCCTATTGTTTTAGTTCAAACCATTTTTGAAACTGGCTTTCTTTGAGACTATTTTACTATGAATTCTCACGCTACATCAGTTCGAAGTGCTGCATCTGAAGCTCTTCCGCACTGGAAGTAACTTCTGTTCCCGATTCTCGCACTGGAAAGCCGATATACAATGCAATGACAGCTGTGTGTTCTTACCTGTTTAAATAAATTGTTCCTCATGTCACATTTATTGTAACTCCCATGAGGTACCCTAATGCATGACTCTTAAACCAGTTTGTAAGTGCAGTCTCATTTTGCTAACTGTATTTGTGTGTCCTTTGTTCTAACAGCAGCCGAACCTGAAGCCAAAGGTGAGTCATTCTTCTTCTTTATTTTGTTTTGAACACATTAACCCACCCACCCATGCATTGCCCAACACATACCTGCAGCATAAACGTTTCCCTATCGCTGCGTGTCATGCAAAGAGCCCCGAGCAGGTGCTGCAGCTAGTGCATGACATTTTCCTTTTTCTTTTTTTTTTTTACACTTTCCTTTGAACTTTAGTAAGTGTCTTTGTTTAATTTCAGAAATTACATGTTTAGGCAAAGGAGACAAATGGGGATGGTTGTGCATTTAAGTGGTAATTCTTAAAAAATTATATTTTAGGAAAGATTAGTGGGATTTGAAAGTTTACATTTGTATCACAGCACTAATGTATGTTGTTTCTCACACTGGACAGGAAGTCAAATGTCAGATTTTTCTCTGACCTCTGACCTCCCAGCCATATAGCATACATAAATGTGATAGTGGTTGTGGCTGCTGACCACATTTGGTTCCCAGAGTTTTTTCTTTCCAGTATTCTTTCTGTATTTGTGCGTTTTTTTAACACCAGACAAACTGGTGTGTCCATGTTGTGATTTCTGACTATGTGCACATACATGTTCATACACACCTGCAGCCACCTTTATTTCCTTTTACTGACTCACTAACATTCCCCCGTTTTATTCCACTTAATTTCACTGACTCATGCCACTCCCTTGTTTTTTTCTCATCTTTGGACTTTGTTTATTGCTGGATTTACTGTACTGTTTGATTCTTTCTTAAGTTGCCGACTGCATTACACCAACAACAACCTTTCTCCCGCCATCTCTCTTTCTATTGTCCATTCAGCACATCCTGCCATTATTACTCTGTTGATTGAAGCCACTGCAGGGACAATAAAGAGAATGTAGGGCAACAGAATACAATCCACTGTGTCCATTTTATTATATCTTTACATTTAATTTAGCCAGCAATATTTGCTGTTGTCTTATGTACTTCTTATGTACTCTGTAACTAGTCTTCACTTCAAACTATCTCATTCAGAGGACCAGTATAATGTAAATGTTGTGGTGGGTGGCATTTGTTTATGCCTTATCCCTTATACCTATATAAATAAACAATAAAATAAGTGTAAAATGTATACAGCCATTAAATATTAATGAGTTTGCCCCAAAATTACTTGGTGATGCACCTAAATCAGACCTTGAATTATGTTAATGGAGTATAACATAGTGTAGACGTCTTCTTTACTCCTGCCATTTGCTGTTTACTCTTGAATGAATTGTGAATTACACTAGTTAAAAGCAAATAATGACATTTTTGTGATATTTGCACTTGTAGCCTATTACCCTCTTATGCTACCTTGATAACAGTATTATTTTTAAAGTATAAATCATTTTAATAGTCACCATGGCATTGTAGGTTATATGTGTGTAGGTTGTGTGCTTTTAAAAGGCTATGAGAGGTATTTGCTGTTTGCTATGACACAGCATGAAAACTATTCAGATTGGTGTTGTCATAGTAACTGGGATACAGGTGCAGACAGTCACTGTAAATGCTTTTAGGGTGTCTAAATTATACGATATGCAATTGCAATGGGATCAGAAAAGCCTGAAAAAAATTGATGCATCTGTCTGTCTCACACACACAAAGTCACACAAACACACGTACGCAATATGTCATGTCATTTAGCCTCGCTGCTAATTTGTCATTCATTTCATTTGAACTGCAAAACGACATCCAGTGTTGATACCGAACATTGCAGTCTCTGGGAGTAGGCTTTACATAGTGCAGTCACATTGGTATCAACGCTGACTCACCCGTGTCAATTTTCTTTTTGTGTGTTTCTTACAGAGGCCAGCTCTGGCTCTTTAGCAGCCATCGTGAGTGCAATTGCTGTATCTGTAGTGGGAGCAGTCGTTGGATACTTCACCTATCAGAAGAAGAAACTGTGCTTCAAAAACAGACAGGGTAATTATCTTCCGGACTAATTAACTAACCAAAAAAACAGAATAACGTGATACCTAACTGTTGTACATAAGGGTTGACATTTTACTGGACTACAACACTACAGTGTTTCAAGTTTCAATAACATGCAAGCTGAGATTTTGTTATTTTTCTATTGCCGTCTCAGCCTTTAATCAAGCTACCAGCATCTTAAGTAACACTTTGCTTTTTCCTGCCTCAAGTGGGTGGGGTGGGTGGGTGTGTGTATTTTGGAGGTCAGCAGTCTTTCTTTGAGACAAAGCAGACTCAGCTTTATCCCTTAGAAAGTGTTGTCAATTACACTCAACTCTCTCTCTCTCTCT